TATATCACAGGTGTTATATATTTTTAAGCATATTAATACAGTCATATAAAATTTGGATCTATTTTAATAATTATAATTTTTTGTATAAAGATGAACAGCTAAAAATCTAAAATATACATTAAAATATACAAAGCATATAAAATATATTTAGAGATTCATCTACTACTAAGAGTAGGGGGAATTAATGTGGGTGGTGGAAGGTTGAGTAATAATTATCAGAGTAAAATACGTTTATCATAAAGAGAAGGGAAAACAAATTCTTCAACCTTTCTAATGTGATCCAGGTGACACCCAACCTAGAGAAAGAATCCCAGAGCATCTCAGTGATGGACGGCAGATGAATATAAGGGAAGAAGAGTCATCTCATGATCCGAATAGTACTGTAGAAACCCAAGAAATGACAAATGAATGTGCCCAAGAATCTGAACAAGCAGGTAAGGTTGATTGACTCTCCAACATTTGCCTGGATGACTTTAAGTGGCGGTAGCCCACACGTCAAGGGAGTAAGGTTGGGTCACCTGTTCATAATTCAGAAAGGGGGTCTCAAAGAGCCATGAATGAGGGTAGAGGAGCAGACCGGAATCTGAGGGAAGGAGATGTTTCTTTACCAAGAAAAAGGATCTAGTTTCTTTGGCCAAGGACAAAGACCACAAATAGACATGGAAGGTAGGATGCTGTAATACCTTAGTACAGAGAAGGCTGGAAGGGAAAAAGTCAACTCAAAAGGGAAAAGGTAGAAGCCTCACTGGGAAAGGGAGAGACAGAAACACAAAGTGACAGGAGTGGCCAAGGAGAGACATGCCCTCAGAATCAAGGGTGCTCAAACAGTTCTTAGGGCAGAGGCTACAATGGGAACATGACTAGAAGTAGAAATGTGAGAAATGGAAAGAAGTAGCATGAGCTGTGAGCAGACTGCAAAAGATTTGGAAAAAACATGGACATATATAAACCTTCACTCCCACTTCCACAAAGAATAATTCAAGGTAGATAACAAATCTAACAGTCCAGGCTAAAACTATAAAGCTTCTAGAAGAAAACACAGTAGAGGATCTTTGCAAGTTAGGTATGCAATAATTTATTATATATTACAAAAATCATGGCTCATAAAAGAAAAACTTGGTAAATTGTACTGCATCAAAATTAAAAACTTCTCCTTATTCAAAGACAAAATTAAGAAAAACAAGACAAGTCATAGACTCGGTGAAAATATTGCAAAAGGTTGTACCCAGACTATATAGAGAATTCCAATGAACAAACAATAAAAAGACACACAAACAATTCAAAAATGGACAAAAGTCTTGAGCAGACACTTTACTGCAGAAGATACAAAATGGCCAATAAGAATAAAAATGTACAATGTCATTAATCATCAGGGAAATGGTAATTTAAAATCACAGCAGCTTACCATCCATGTATATAAAAATAAAAAGACCGCCCACACCAAATTTGGTGAGAACATAAAGCAACTAGAACTCCTGCGTATCTTGTGCTGCTCGGAATGTCAACTCACAACCATTTTGGAAAACTCTTTGGCAGTCTCTTATAAACTTAATCTAGCCCTTAACTCAGCCAGTTCACTCTACTATAAACCATTAAGGTTTATAGTAGCTTTCTTCCTAATAACTAAAATCTGGCAACAAGAAGATGCCCATCAACGGGAGAGTAAATAATGAATCCATGATATTGCGATAGAGTGGAATAGTGATCAGCAATAAAAAGGAATGGACTACTGGTATATGTAATAACATGGGTGAATCCCAAAAACATTATGTTGAGTAAAAGAAGCCAGCCACAGGGTATATGCTGTGTGATCCTATATGTATGAACATCAGTACAGACAAGTACAGTACTCAAAGAAAGAACTTATTAGTGGTGATAGAAATCAAAACAGTAGCTGGTTACACGTGTAGTAACTGACTGGAATGCAAAGCCCAAAGGGACTTTCTGCCCTGGTAAAAATGTTTCATATTGTGACTCTTCCATTAGTCACACAACTGTTTTTTTTACTTAAGATGTGTGCATCTCGGAAAAAAGGGGAACAAGTCTCTGTTGGGTTTCAGGTGGGGTCTTTGGTGCTTGAACATCAGAGTTCAGCTTGAGGACTGAGTTCTGCCATTACCTTGTCACCCTATTCAGTGTGCCGTGAACACTCACCTGTTGGGAGCCGAGCTAACTTGGCGAGCGCTGAGATAAGTGCACTAAACTATTTTAAACACTCAGTATTTTTTAAGAAGGGAGTTTTATTGTTGTTTGACAGGCAGAATTTGTATTTTTATAAGCCAGCTGTTTTACCAGCAGAGAACTGGCTTCTAGGTTTCCTAAAAGCCGTGAAGCAGTCTGTAACAAGCATGTCACAAAGTCTTGGAAACTCTTATCAGGGCCTTGGTGGATCTTAGACAAATCTTCAGTTGGCTTCCCTGATGAGGGCAACTTATATCAAGCCCTTTTTGTAGCGGTATTCACTTGAGCATACACTCCAGGATCAAAGGCCAGCTTATTGGCTAAAAGGAGGTAGTTACTGAGCAAAGAATGGAAAAGTCACAAGAGAAAAATCAGTATGTGCCTATGCAATCGGGAGGGGCAGTGTGTGAAAGCTATAAAGTGTGAAAGAAACTTGGGTCTTAAAAAATTCTGTGGCTAAAAAGTAGAGCTTTGGAGGGAGCGCTTGGACATTAATTTCAAAGAGAGGCGTTGGATGAGATTTTGAGCATGTCATAAGTAATTGGTATATTTTGTCCCTGATTAACCTCTGTAGTGGACCTACACTGTTTTGTAAACTCAGATTTCTAAAGCAAGAAGTCTCTCCCAGACAAGCAAGCTCGCGTTTTCAATCCTCAGGGGGCAAGGCTTTTGTAGATAACGTTTCTAACATTGTCTGGGTGAAGGGGGCAGTAGGCCCATACTGCGCACAAGTCATCTTTAACTCTTTTAGCTGTTTAAAAGGAAACCCTCTATGAGTGCACACTAGGTTTCCCTGTGCATTTGTACTTCATGAACCAGGAAAGCTAAATGAAACCCATCTATATCTTCTCCCCTATCCCTTGCGGCCTGTAATGATTGTTGTAGGGGTGATCTTCCTACCAAAAGCAGGCGCGACCCCTGATCTCGGACCAAGGCGATCACAGGGGGTGGCTGGACAATATAAGGAGGCGTAGGCTCCTTTTCGGGAACTGGTGGATCTAACTGAGGCTTCCATTGGGACCCTCCCTGTTGTTGTGTCATCTGTTGTATCTGTAGCTGCTGTAATTGTACAGTTACTGCGGCCAGCGAAGCCTGTATCTGTTTTATTGTGTCCTCTAGTGGATGTTTTTCCTCTTTCACTGAGGTTGTGGAGGTTTCCTTGGTAAATGTCACAAAAGGCGGAGGGTCTCCCTCATCGTGATATTGGGCGGCTTCTTCTTCTAGCTGAGCCGCATCCCCTGGGTCTAAAGAGTCTTCTTCATCCTCATAGAAGAGGGAAGTAAAAGGCACACCTAAACCTTCGAGGGCTTAGTTTCACTTTGGTGCTCACCTGTGCTCTTTGCTTCAGAGCTCTCTGTAGCTGGGGTAGTCTTAGGGTCTTGACCTCCCTGTTCCTGTCATTTATCCCTCTCATGTCGGAGGTCTAAGCAGTCTTAGCGTCCACAACCCAAAAGTGTCCACCGGGACCTTACCTGGCCCATGAACATCATAATAATCCTGCAATTTTTGCCCTACTCTTTTCCAAGTTTCTAAATTAACTGTCCCTTCCTCAGGGAACCAAGGGCACACCTTTTCTACAAAATCTAAAAAGCTGCAAAGCTGCTGTTGGCCCACTCTAGTGCCGCGGACGCGAAGCATATTTTTAAGC